GACATATCTCGGCTGATTTGCAGGCAAATAAACTAACATATTCAAGAGCAAGAGCCGGATGTGAACGAGACAAGGCCCCATCAGAAAATGACCATTATCGTCGTTTGCGCATAGGCCTGACGCATGAGTTCCAGTCGAAAAATAAAATAATATTATAAAGTGTTTCTATTTTTCGACCAATAAAAATGCTTCTTTCCTAATTATACTTGCATCATTTTTTGAGCCTGTTAAGCCATAAAAAATGCCATAAAAGTGGTCACACGGTGAAGTACTAGCAGTCAACAGGAGTCCAGGGAAGAGATCTGTCACGGTCAGTCTGAGCAGTCAGCAGTAGTCAGTCTGAGCAGTCAGCAGGTAGAGCTCCACACCAACCGGTAAGAACTACTATGAGAGATCAACCCAGATTGACAGCCGGCTTATGAACTATACTACAAGGTAGCTGTCCCAAACCCACACGTTCCTTTTGAAATAAATCATGTAAATCTATTTCTGCTGTTGTCATATTTCTTTCTTGCAACCATACGCTTGTCTATAACAATATTTTAGGCTGATGATGTGTTCTTCAATTTATAAATAGTATTTGAATTGTATTTAAATACTTTTTCAGAGTATTTATGTGAAAAAGCATTTATATTTTTGCCTAGTTTCAGAAGTATTTGTTTTTTCATATCTTTGGAGTCTGGAATAAAATTTGTTGTATTCATATTTGTATTTCCAATAATATCACGTCAATAGCTGCAAGAAGTATTTGTAATTTCTAAAAAATTAGTATTTGATCCATCCTGGCTTGTTGGCTACTGATTGTGGTAGGGAGCACCGAGTCCAGTTTCCTCTCCACACCACACTAAGAGCTCGGTATGCCACATCTAGCCATTTCAACTATAAAATTGATTGATGCCAATCTAGTAATGTGCTTAAATTCATTGAGTTTTCATACCATAGAGGAGAGTTCATCAGAATAATTACCATGAAAGTATTTATAGAAAAAGCACAGGGAAGCTATGTTATGGCTGCAGGAAAATGACTGAAGGATAGCAAATCCCTGTTGCAGATGTCCACTCAGGCATATTTATGTTTCTTCAACACCCTCATCTGATCTGTGGTTTATACTGCATCAAGGCTGAGAGGGAGTGTATAATCTGGCATGATCAGTCACTGAATAAGGCCAAGACACTCAATTACTGGTCACATGACATTTTGAAGATCAAATGTATGGTCAACTCTTCATCTCTGAGTACACCAATCTTCTAAGGTGGCTTTTCTTTTCTTTTTTTTTAAATCATTTCATCCCAAGTAAGGCAATAAAGCCACTTAGACATAAGAAGTTACTGAGTGTTAGGGAATATGAGAAAAGTATACTATTAAGGAGAGAAGACAATAAAAGAACAGAAATTAAGAAAACAGATGATAATGATTGACATTGCATTTAGATTTTTGAAGATCAAAGTTGACAGGGAAGCAAGAAGCTGGAAGTGAGTTCCACAAGCAAGAAGTGCAATAGAAGAAACTGTTTGTATAGAACTTAAAATTATATCTTGCCATTTCAACTGTAAAATGGTGAGACATAGTCGCCAATCTAGTACTGCGCTTAAATTCATAAAATCTAGGTACCATAGAGGGGAGTTCATCAGAATAATTACCATGAAAGTATTTATAGAAAAGGCACAGGGAAGCTATGGCAACAGGAAAATGACTGAAGGATAGCAAATCCCTGTTGCAGATGCCCACTCAGGCATATTTACGTTTCTTCAACATCCCCATTTGACCTGCGGTTTATACTGCATCAAGGCTGAGTGAACCTTCTGAGAGGGAGTGTATAATCTGGCATGATCAGTCACTAAATAAGGCTAGTACACTCAAATCTCTGGTCACTATGACTTGTGACTTCATACTAACACAACCATTGATGACTTTTGAACAGTTCCTTTTACCCAATTTCATTCACAAGGCTCGTTTCACCCTGGGGTATGAATTTCAAGCACCTCCCACAATATGCTGGAATTGTTTCTCTTGGCCAATATTATCAAGAATCTTGATTGATCATGTCAACGTTTGAACATGGGTTTCATGTCATGTTTAAAACACTACCATTCTAACCAGTGAGCCATGACGACATATATAATACACCTATCCACAACATGAGAGACATAAAAGTTATATCACTAGTTATATTTTTTAAGCTTTATCATATATAAACAAAATTAGATTGTTTTTGTAAATTATATCCAAAAGGGAATATATAACATGCTTATTGTTGTAGAGTAAATAGTACACCTTGGTGACTATATGTATTATCCCAAAACTATAAATAAAAAGCTCTAGATCAGAAGTGAGAAGAAGCTATTTGGAGTCAGTCTTCAGACTAATTAATACAGGCATTACAGTAAGTAGCTGAAGCATTACTTATATTATATCACTAGTTATATTTTTTTATAACAGTGTTGCAGTTCAGTGTGTTCTTCCCACGTTTTGGTAAACACCGGTAATTACACCACTCACTCTAGCGGTAGGTTTTGAAGCTAGTGTCCAGCGCCCAGACAAAAAGAAGTCGTAACTTAATATGAACCTCTATAGCAGTGCACATCACCACAGTCCCAGTTGCACTACCAGCCAATGCCCCAGACCGTTTTTATTGACCAAAAACATGGCCAACGCACCAATCATGGCTGTTGGCCTCGTTCTCAATCGGATTCCCCAGCTCGACCAATCAGCATGCAGACCGGCACTAGACAAATTGTGCCAAGCAGCATAAAATCAACAAATTTCGGAGAATGTACTTTTCTAGGACCGCACTTGCGAGAGGAAATGATGCAATTGACAAAATGACAAACTGTCTAGCTTGGGTTTATGCATATATCCATCATAAAACAGCAGCCCGACAAGCAAAACATCTTGGACACTTTGACTTTGGTAAGTGTGAATGTTTATCGTCACAAACAGTTTTTATATTCAAGGATACATGATGAGCAGTATTGAGGAGAGAGTAAGATAAAAAAAACAAGAATCAAGAAAACAGAAGATAACGATTGACACTGCATTTAAATTTTTGGAGACCAAAGTGACTGAAAAGCAAGAAGCTGGAAGAGAGTTCCACAAGTGAGAAGTGCGAGAGAAGAAACTGTTTGAATAGAACTTACGGCTACATCTAGCCATTTCAATTGTAAAATGATGAGACCTTGCTGCCAATCTAGTACTGCATTTAAATTAATCAAGTCTAAGTACAATAGAGGTGAGTTCATCAGAACAATTACCATGAAAGTATTTATAGAAAAGGTACAGGGAGGCTACATTATGAGGGTGGAAAAGTGACTGAAGCCAAGATGCCAGGTGAGGACTAATAACATTTGAATCTGATCTGATTATTCAAAATTTCTCAAGTGAATTCAGGCTTTTTGTATTTCAATAAGAAAAGGTCTTTAAGGAATTATCAAGTTTCATGCTGACAAAGCTCTTAAAAATACATTTCAGGTCTTAAAAATGCATCTCAGGTCTTAAAAATGCATTTCAGGTAAACTGATAAGACCTATCAGAGCAAACTGAAGCATCTGTAAATAGAGAAAATTTCTGTTTCCATGTTTGTTTTTAGGAAAATAAAAAAAAAACACTTGAAAGAGCGAAAAGGGCAGAAAGAGAATAAGTTTCTGAAAGGTACAAATGAATTAAAATAGAAAATGCAAAAGGAAAAAATTGTAAGGAGGAAGACATCTTGCTCAACTAACCAAGAAAATCATGATAGCTAAAATATAGTACAAAGAGAGTTTTGAGTCGAGAAAGCATCTAAAAAATAAAAACAATTATAGATTATCAAAATATCAAATTTGGAAACACCTTCTCCAGTGTTATAAAGACTAGTTTTCTTAAGTGATGAAAGCAGGTTTGAGATGGTTCCTAGTGGTTCTCTCTGATTGATTGGATTTTTACGGCTTATCAACCCATTATATGTTATTTAAAGCCAGAAAATATGTTTAGATTAGAAGAATTTTTTTTTAAAAAAAGAATTGTTTTTAAATTGTTTCTTGTCCTGGGTATGATGATAAACTAAATCCACCAGCAAAGCCTCTGATTGAGAGGTTTTGAGGAGCATGACACCACCTCTTAATTGCTGTTATCCCCAGTTCCACCTAGACCCAGAGTGGTAGCACCTGTTAGGGTCCCAGCTATGGGCAAATAGTAAACTCCCAAACTGGGGTCAATACACTATGAAAGTATAAAAATAGATTTTTATAATAAAAATACCAGCAATACATTTTTGAAAAGAAAAATTATTACCAGTAATACATTTGACTCTTGGCAAAAACCCTCTTTACAAAAATACATCAATGAAACCTTCTCTATAAACTGATTCCTTACAAAGAATAAATATTCTACTCATACAAACATATCCTAAAAATCTTGTCGGTTTTAAATAATAAACCAGACTAAATTGTTTCTTTCTTTGCCTCAGTGAATTCTTCATCATCAGTTCTTAACAGCCTATAAAAATATCTCTCCAGAAAAGCAATTTTGCAAGTAAGTGGATTTTTATTTATAAATAAATCTTAAACATATACAAATATACCAACTGTCAACAAAAAAGAAGTAACTGCTAACTCAAGAGATTATCTTCAAAATCCAAATTTAAAGATAAATGGCTGATGTTAGTGTTAAGCTTATGACTATTTTTCTCAATGGCTAAGACATCAGTCATCATCGCAGATCAAAACTCATAAATGTTTACCACTTCCAGAGAAGATACAAGAAAATAGAGAGGAAAAAAATTGATTGATTACCTAATTCGATTTTTATGATTTATCAACCCTTTGTAGGTTATTTAAAGCCAGAAAATATTTTTAGAATTTTTGTGGGGAGATAATGGTTTAGTGAGACATGTCTAATTAACCCATAGCTGGGGGAGAAGTGGATTCATAACTTTCTCAAGGGTATTTGCGCATAAGTGAATATAATGAAGCAAACTCTCCAATTTACAATTCCAAGCCATTATCCATTGCATCACCTGCAAGCTTACAACACTAGGTATTCAAAAGTGGTCACCCATCTAGTTACTGACCAGGCTTGATGTTGCTTAACTTCAGTGATTATATGGGAACTAGTGTTACAATATTATGCTGCTGTAAGTAGAATAGGCCAAAGGTTTGACAAAGGAACAGTTGCAAAAAAATAACATTGTAGAAAGCTGAAAACTGTCACCCTAAAAATAGAAAATAAGTTTTAAGCATTTTTTATTTTAATATTTAAGTTTGAAATCTCAATTCATTTTAAATTCCTGAAAAGTAAATTCATCTTAAATTATGTAAGTAATAAAAGTTAATAAAAGAACATAAAGAATACTTTCATTTCAATAAAGTATAGTTATACAGGCTCTGACAAAAAAAAGTACTGGGACTGCTGTCACAAACAATTTATTTCAATTCCAAATAACTTCTTGGTTTTTCCCTTTAAATTAATCTCCCTTGAGTCTAATGCACTTATCGATCCTTCGCTGCAACAATGGAAGGATCTTTTTTAGATGTAGCTCAGCTCTGTTGCTACAGCCCTTTTGATGGCCTCCACATCTTCAAAACAGGTCCTCTTGAGAAATGGGGAAAAGAAAAAGGTCACACAGATTAAGATCAGGTGAATCAGGGGGTTATTTCACTATGGCGATGTTCTCCTCAGCCAGGAACTGCTGGATGCTCAGGATGTTGTGAGCAGGTATAGTGTTGTGGTGAAGCAACCACCATTCGTCCTGCCACATAGGAAAAAAATGCAATGTTTGCAGAAAGCTGAGATTACAGTTATATACTCCCAAGACATCATGTTAGACGATAACACAATCCACTCATTCCTCTTTCACCCATAGCTTACACAGCACACCCAGTACTGTTACTTTTCAGACAGACTTCATATATGTGTGCATGTCTGTATATGTCAACAGCATATGTGAAGATCGTGTTATCATGTGAAACTTTAAGTCACAATGAAATTTTTTTTTTCTCTCATATTTTTTTGGATTGGATTCCATTTCTTTTCTAGATTGGTTTTCATACTGAGAAGTTTGTATCTTATTAAGTGGAGATAGGGTTTTTTTTATGTTTCCTGTTTTGGTCTTTTTCTTTCTTTGTTTAGATCCATTTTCTTTGATGTTTACATGGTTCAATTAATTCTTGTTTATACATGTGCAAATGTCACCAGCCATTTTCAACTGTTGTAAATTTCTAAAAATAACTAGATGAAACCCTGACAGTTATTTATGTAAGCTAATTAACATATTTTGTAGCAGAGATTATGATTGAAAGGGGTAGATAACCTCCAAAAATTGGCATGCATAGGTTTTCATCTTTCTCACATGTACATGTGAGGTGGCTGAAAATTACATATATATATATATATATGTGTGTGTGTGTGTGTGTATGAGATAATGATATATAAAATTTTATATAACCTGAACAATATTGGGGGTAAATGTATCACAAAGTGGAAAAAATTTTTGTCTGATGCATTTCAGCTGATGAAGTCCTAAAGGATGAAATACATCACAGAAAAACTTTTTCCCTCTTTGTTATATATTTTCCCTAAATATATATACGATGACAGTCCAGTGCTTTCTGCATTCTGTTGAGGATTCTTCTAGACTCAATGAATTAATATAAATGATTATTCAAGTCCTCCCCCCACAAATTTCAATCACTTGTATATCCTTGCCTGATTCAGCTTCAAATGCTATAGAGGAAGTGGCTTGGGGAAAGAAGACGTGGCTCTTGGGGCACAATCCATTGGGTTTGCATACTTGGATGAGTTACACCACGGAATTTACTGAGTAGTGGCACTATATTGAGCCTAGTTAGTTTTTTCTTTGTCAAAAAGGCCTGTTAGTCCAGTGGTATGATGCTTGTATTGTATCATAACAGTCAGGATTCAATTCTTGGTAGTGGATGCACACTGCAGATGAGTCCCAAATAGGACAAAACATCCATCTATTGCTTTCTGCATTCTGTTGAGAATTCTTCTAGACTCGATGAATTACTATATATATATATATATATATATATATATATATATACACACTAGCAGGATTCGCTATCACTTCACAAAGTAAGATATATTCACTATTTGAAATCTTTGAAACAAAAATTTTAAATAAACATTTCATTCATAAATTGGCTTGTCATAGTCAAGGAAAGTTTTACACATAGATGTGTGTTGGAATGTGTCACGAAAAAATAAATGGTTTCGTCTCTTTCTCTCCTGCTGTCGTAGTGACGGACACAGTCTCCACTTCTGAGACTGAAAAACACTGCCCTCCTTCTCATTCCAGTCCTTTACATAGAGCTTGGTAACTCACCTATGCAAAACACCAACAAGCCAGCTACCCATCACAGTTCCCGTGCCTGCCCACCTCCACTCACTTTGGGGGTGTCAAGTTGACTGACCAACTCATTACAAGATGCTAACTTGTTGAAGGACAAGTAAAATGCAAATTTCAAACACTTTTCTGCACTATAAAAGACAATATTCCTAAAGAGAACTATTTTTGATATGAAAATCAAAACAATTCTTGAATAAAAGAACAGTAATGAAGGACAGTTAATGAAATATACTTTTTAAAATCAATATGCAAATTAGTTAAACCTAAAGAGTGATATCACCTAGAAGTAGATAATATATAATACAGATATTGAGCTTTTAGCTTATAAATTACTATAAAGTAGAATTGGGGCTTTTTAACACCAGAATTTGTTGGATAATTGTGCTCCAATTTTGCATTTATTCATATAGATTCCATAATATAGCTTTTACTTAATTAGCTATTATGTTTCTCTAACTCTTCAAATGTTGAATGTATAACTAATTATGTTTTTCTATCTTTGCACTATATTAATTTTATCTTATAAATTGTCCCCTGTTCTGTCACCCATGAAATAAAAAATAATTGTTTGCACAGAAAATAAGGATCTACGTACATCAAATCATCTTTAAATTAAGTGGCAGCAGAAGAATTATCGTTGAACTTTTAAAAGGTAGGGTTAAACATTTATTCAATACTTAAATGCAGTGATTAATTTTGAGTTCTTCTGTAGTTTATTGATTGTTTCTTATATCTACTCCTCCCTAGCTATTGTAATAAAGACCCAATTAAGAGCCCTTAAGCTAGTTTATAATAAAACGTGTACTGCAATTTTGGATACAAAAGGAAAATAAGAGTTATTCCCCTTGAACCATGAAAGCAACAATAATGGCTAGTATAATATATTAATATATATTTTTAACCTTGCATAATCTGGCAACCCTGCATCTGGCAAAAAATCGTTCCCCGTGCCTAACTTTTCTAGGGTTTTTGAATGAGCTATGAATCATTGAAATCAAACCAGTGGGAGTGGAGGAGTTGCTTGGACACACAAACACACACGGTACTTTATATATAAAATATAGTATTCTGATTGTCAGATGATTGCAGGAGTGTGAAAATTAAGTAGAATTCTGAACTTTGTCATTTTTGAGGTGTGATGCTGTGAATCATTTTGCTCTTTCTTAACAACCTAGGCACTGAGCACTTTTAGTTACTAGATTTTGGTCATTTTTTCATAGTTTGTTTATTCTCCTTTTCTTGTATATGATTTTTTTGATTTCGGTAGTTAAAAATTTTCTTTTTTTTTGTCACCTGGCAGGATTTCATTTGTTTATACCAATAGTCTCTCTCTCTCTCTCTCTCTCTCTCTCTCTCTATATATATATATATATATATATATATATATATATATATATATATATATATATATATATATATTTGTATCAGGTCATTCTGATGGGATGTTACTGGTCTCATGTAAGCCAGTACTACCTATTGCATGGTCGGGCAATTGGCAACTAAACCGAAGAACTTAAAAGTTGATTTAAGTATTGCATTAATACTTAAGCTTGCCTTTTAAAAGTTTAATGATAATTCTTGTCGTCACTTAATTTAATAACAATTTGATGTACATAGGGTGGCTTTTGATGGATTTCACAATTAATTTCATTTTTTCCCAAATTTATTTCCAAATTATAAAAATTGTTATCATACTAAAAACTTTGTCGCAAAAAATCACTTGCGAAAATCACTGAAAACAATCACAGTAATAAAAACAAAAATTTCAGTATTGAGGGTCCATATCTGGCCTGTAATATTTTTAATTTGCTCATGGAGTTGGCCTGATCCCAAAATAGGTTGGGCTATGGCCTCTAAGAGTAAAGATGAAAAAGTGTGACACAGTGACACACTGACATTCACATTTATTATATAGATTAGAGAATCCCACAGCCAGCTCAACACTGCCATAATTGATTGGTTGAAAAAAGGGTTTTCGTTATATTCCGTGCTTATAGGAATATATACTTGAAAAACAAGGTGAATAAAACAAGTAAAGGTTTATTGTAAAAAACCAGTACAATAAGAATACAGGTAACAGTTGTAATCAAGGTCATCGCATGTAAATCCAGTAGTGAGTGCTTCTAATGGAAGGTCGGTAGTTCTTGCGTAAGTCTAAGTCGTACTGAACAGATCCCAGTTAGTCTCTGTAGCCCGTTGACTTACAGATACTTATAGGTAGTAACTATCTATAGTGTAATCACTCATCAGTTTTTGTTTTTTTTTATCTAAGCTGAGTTGCCAGTTGCCAAATACATTTGGATATTTTTTAACCAAAATTAATAATATAAGCTGGGTTGGCTGAGTGTTCAACTGCAGATGAAAGTATACTATTTACATTATTCAGACTATTATCCTCATCTTTGCTGTCATATTTGTTACAACGTTTCAGCCATTGTATGCTCCGGCCTTCTTCAGGTGGTTGGAATGTCAAACGGAACCTTCTATTTCGCTCACTGGGATTGACAATTCCAGTTCCAGGTGCCATGTCTAATGGATATCACTTATCAGTTATCTCCTGTTAATTCCCCTCTGCAAGGTCTCCACCGCCTTAACCATGTACTGAACTCAAACTCTTTGAGTCCTGTCACTGGATCTAACTAACGTGTGATGTGTCCTTGAGGACATCTGTGTATGAATTTCTGGGTATTATAAACCTAATGTCTTCAGCTCATATTGCAATTTTTGCTGTTATCAATCCATGTTTTTACCAG